GGAGTACTGTGTCATGGAGCCTTGAGCCATGGGTTCAGCCCCCTGGTGGGTTGTGCTTGGTTTCCTGATTATGGATTGGACTCAGCCCTGCCACATTGTCACTCTTATGTGTGCCACTAGGCACTAACAGGCATCGAGGCATAGGAGTGTTCAGATACTGGTGAGTCAGGAATGTGCAGAGCCAGGGAGAACATCAGTGTAGACTAAGTAATTTCAATTCTGAGATCTCAGGTGTCAACATCTAGAAGGGTTCTCAGTGAAGTTTTTAATGTAATTGAATGAGGTGAAATTCACACCTCAAGGACCAAAATGGCCCTCAAGTCAGGCAAGAGCACACAACTCTTTCACTTAAGCCCCAGGCCTACTAGCAGGCTCTGACACAAAGACCCCACTGGTTTGACATCAACACTTCTCAACCATGGCTGGGATTGCTAATCCCAAAGTTGATTAGTGAGACTATTGGTAGGAAACTGATGGTACACTTGGGGTGTGTGGGAGATTGAAAAGAAAAGCCACGCGTCACTGAAAGCCAGTTTTTATTCTTATAGGGAAGAAGGGAGGGCCAGGAAGAGTTGAGAAACCCCAAGCCAGGGCAGGGAGTGTGTTGCCAGCACTAAGCAGCTGTTCTCTGCTTGGGTCCTGGACCTGCTTCCTATTAAATCCCACTGTTGACACCTGTCGGTACTCTACCAATATCCATTTGACCCTCACCTTTCTCTGTGTGCCAGCCCAACTCCCATCTGTCAGCACCTGTGGCCTTTTGCCTATGGCCTTCTTTTTTTTTTTTTAATTTCAAGACAGAGTCCCACTCTGTCATCCAGGCTGGAGTGCAGTGGTATGATCTCAGCTCACTGCAATCTCCGCCTCCCATGTTCAAGTGATTCTCTTGCCTCAACCTCTGGAGTAGCTGGGATTACAGGCATGTGCCACCACGCCCAGCTAAGTTTTTTGTATTTTTGGTAGAGACGGGGTTTTGCCGTTTTGGCCAGGCTGGTCTCCAACTCCTGACCTCAGGTGATCCACCTGCCTCGACTTCCCAAAGCATTGGGATTACAGGTGTGAACCACCCTGCCTGGTCCTGTGGCCTTTTTCTAGCCACTGGAGCCCATTCTGCTGCAGTGCAGGGCAGGCCAGAGGTGCTGGGGAGGTAGCATCCCAGGAGAGCAGTCCTCAACCCAGGCCTGGCTGCAGTGGGACGTCTCGCAGGTGTATGTTGCACTCTGCCTCCTGGAGCTCCCTGCCAGGACACAGCTACAGTTCCCCACAGCAGGAGCTTGCACTGTTTATTGCTTCCTTCTCTCCCCTGTCACCTCCCCACTGCCCTCTCAGTGTTTCCTCACCCACGGCCTTGCACTTGAATCCGTATCTCAGGGTTTGCGCTGAAGGAAATCAAACTAAGCCAGTGCCCTGTTGTCTTTTCTTTGTTTCCTTACTACACAGATCAGGCCCCAAGCTAGGCAGAACTGTCTGGAGGGGCAGAAAGCCATTACTAAGGGCAGCCCTGGGGCTCCAGGCATCCAGAGGCTCAGGGCTCCAGCACCCAGGCAAAGAGGTGAGCACAGCATAGGGCCTATGATGGCCTGGTTCCTGCCTTTGTGGTCTGTCTGTCCTCATCCTCAGGGCTGATTTTATTCCTCCAAGTTTCAGTCCCAGCGTCTGTATCCCAGTTAGGTTGAATGAGACGAGTTTATCCTGGAAAGACTATCTGGGCTCTAGTTCTAGCTCTGCCACTAACTGTGTGGCTTTGGGCAAATTACTTTGCTGCTCTGGCTTTCAGTCTACCCATCAGCAAAATAAGGGGGTTGGATTAGATGATCTGTAAATGCCCAACTACAATTTTTATAGTCATTGAATAATGAATGAAGACAGGACTATTACCCAGGCAGGTATTCCTGGACTTTCTCAGTGGTTCAGTCTCAATGAAGAGAAGATGCTGCTCGACATACCCTTGCTACAGTTTGACTCATGACCAAGCAGTTGGGGACATCAGACATTTTCCCTCTCCACGTGGAGCTTACTAGTTCAATCGAGAACCACAGCTTTCAAGTTGAGCTTTTGCCTGTTCTAACCATCCCAACAAAAAGCCTGGTTTCTAATCATGGTAGTAACCTCTGGCATAATGTCCCCTCAGCCTCAGCTCAAGTAGGATGGTTCCCACACTTTTAGAAACTTCTCACTAGCAAACGAAGACATTTCTCTAAAGAATGGAAAGTAAATGAGGATGTGTAATGAGAGAATCATGTCATGAAAATAGGATGTGTAATTAGAAAACGTCATGGAAATGTGGCATTTCTGAATTGGAATGTCAGTGGCTAGAAAAGACAAGGCAAGTTGTGTACTTATTCACAAAGACGTGGAGGCCACATAGCATCTTACACAAGGGGTGAGCAAACTTTTTCTGGAGAGGGCCAGGTAATAAATGTCTTAGACTTTGTGGACTATGAGGTTTCTGTTGCAACTGCTCAACTCTGTAGGATGGAGGCAGCCATATAGATGAGGGCCAAGACTAGGTTGAGGGCCAGTGAGGCACACTTGTGTTGGGCACAAAATTGAAGGGTGCCAAAAACCTCAGTAACCAAGATAAATATTTGAGTGCAATATTTAGAAAATATTATTGCAGAAAATCCATGATATAAAATATCACAATTAAAAGTAAAGACAGAAGCCTGGTGTGGTGGCTCATGCCTGTAATTCCAGCACTTTGGGAGGCCGAGGTAGACAGATCACTTGAAGTCAGGAGTTCAAGACCAGCCTGGCCAACATGGTAAAACCCTATCTCTATTAAAACTACAAAAGTTAGCTGGGCGTTGGCGGGTGGGGCGCCTGTAATCCCAGCTACTTGGGAGGCTGAGCCAGGAGAATCGCTTGAACCTGGGAGGCAGGTTGCAGTGAGCTGAGATTGTGCCACTGCACTCCAGCTTGGGTGACAGAGCAAGACTCCATCTCAATAAATAAATAAATAAATAAAAATAAAGACAGGATCAGACAATATGTAAATGAATGAGCGTAGCTATGTTCCAATACAACCACTTGGCCTGGAGGCCATAGTTTGCTGATCCCTATGTTATCACATAGGGTAGACCTGGGACCCTCCCAACAGAAGTTTTCATCTTAGAATCAGGTGGCTGGATAAGGTTAAGAACTATTTCCTTTAGGGTGCCCTCTTTCCTCCTTTTTCGGTCCTCCTTCCTCTTTGGTGCTGCTTGCTGTTTGTGCTTCTCGATTCCCTCTCTCGACACTCCATTTCCTACATTCTAGCAGCCCAGGCCTCACATTGGACTTCAAGTCTTCTCCAATATAAAATTTCAACCAGGTCTCTGGCCTGGCTCTGGCCTCCCTTCACCTGCATCCACTCAGCATGGCCACTCTCAGCAGACACTTTGGAAATAATCTGATAATTGGCTTAACAGGCTGCTCCTCTTAGCTCAGGTGCATTTCAACAGTAGAAAGTTATTTTAGCCAAAAGACCCGTATTGTTTAAGGGTCAGCTGTATTTGTTGAATTACAAATGAAGACTAACAGTTTAATATTACAAAGGGGTCGACTTCAGATGGATGGGATCTCAGGCATCTGTGAGGGGTAGCGCGGGTGGGAAATTTTTAGGTGGTTGGTTCCCCCCAATCTCATGATGTTTGCAACTTTCGTGACTAGAGGAGAGAACCAGCCCCGGTCAGAAGGTTTGGAGTTAGCTCCAAGATATAGTGTGAAATTCACAATATGGACACCAGGCCTCACTAGATGATTCTGGAATCACCTCCTGATTACCAGTCTCTGTAGATTCTCCCCTCCGCAGTCCTTCCCTCACCCCCAAATACAGTGGCCTTCATGGGCGCAGGCAGAAGCCAGCTAGCTCTTAGCACTCTCAAAGACAGGATCAGATAGTACATAAATGAATAATAAATAAACAAATCTGTGTTCCAATAAAACTTTATTTGGCCTGACCTGATCAAGTTTAATAATGTTTAATAGATTTTTTAAAAACATGAGTAGTTATAACAATACCTCTGTAATAACAGTTATATATGAACTCCTGGTCAAGGCCAGCAGCTTGTTCCTTTACCAAAAAAGTAAAGCCGCCCTCTGAGGACAAAATGGCACATGAGGAGTGGTGTACATTTTTTTCTTAAAGAAAAAACAAAAAATAACAAAACCCAAACACTTCCTATTTACATATTCTCCATTTAAAAATTGGTCAGTGTGAGTAATTGTTTTTAAATATAAGTTTCTAATGTGTTGCAGGTTTCCATGTACAAAGTATAGTTTGCTGATTAGCTTTAAGGTGCTGTGATGTGAGGATGAATGCAGCCCAAGACCAAGACTGGGGGAATCCTCTACCTACAGACTGGCTGGACTTCCTGTGGGTATCTTTGGGAGTGCTGGGGGAAGAGAAGGAGCTGAACACCAGTGGCAGAAATGGCAGTGTTTCTGGGGACCAGATAGGGGCTGTCAGTGTCCCCACCCTACGCTTCTGCAGAGGGCCTGTGTCTACACGCCATTACCCCATGCTGTGTGTGTGAGCACACGGGTTTGCATTCACCAAACTCACTTTAGCCTACACTATGAGGGGCATTGCTACTTTGAGTCTCTTCCTTTGTCGTGAGGTCTCCATGCTGGTGCCTGACCCCTAAGAGCCCTTGCTGTTGACAGCCCTCCTTTCATACCTTCCTGGATTCCTTGCCCCCAAGGTCACGTGCTCTCCAACACATTTCTGTAGGGTCTGCTCTTTGTCAAGGCTACATGGATGATCAAACTCAGGAAAGTATTGATGAGGGATGGTGGGTTCCATGTGAAACCTTCTCTCCTAACACATTTTCTCTATGGCAGAACCTCACTGCTGTCCTCCAAATGAGCAGTTTGTGTAGAGAACATTAGTCCCGAGGTAGGTCTGGAGAGGAGCTGTTGGGGAGTGGGGGG